ACATGTCCTTGATACAAACTGGAATAATAGTGTCACGTGGTATGAGTCATTCCTGGGACCTAGATGGTCAGTGTCTCAAAACCAATCCTGTGAAGCATTCTAATCTGCACTAGTGTACGCATTCCAAACAAGAGCCCTTTCCCGTTTTGGAGGCCAGCCTGCAACTGTGAGTTGATCTGCTGCCAGCCATGATTTTGTCACAGATTAATTTCCCTATTTTATAACAGCCACATGGCTGAGGATCTTTTGGACACCATTATGGAACCCTGCTGATGGTCCCTATGATTCAAAGGATTTGTCTTTGATAAGCTTAATAAAGGGGATGCTCATAAATGTACTCAAATTTGGGATATTCTATCCCCCTGAAGTTATTTTTCACTTATGTAGACTTCAGTATATTCCATAGTGCAGTAATTTTGAACACTATCTTTTACAGTAATCCCCCCTAAAATATAAATCACAATTTTGTGGAAGAACATTAGCAACATAAACCAAGGTCACATAACTCACCTATATAAGTACAATTGTCCCTGTATTTTTCTATCCTGCATCTTACTAGAAATCTGGTTTAATCGAAATACTAAGTCTCTGAAGTTTATTATGTAGGTCCTTTCAGTTTAAACCCCAGTTCTCTGAAGTCTCACTCTGTCACTTCCATTCCTGGCTTGAACCAGGTCCAACAAACTTCCTGAAGACATGGTGATAATTTTCCTGTTTTTTTGATGTTTTCTTTTAGTCTCTAAAATTATCCTGTTAGTACAATCAAGTCAGTTCCGACCCATGGTGGCCCCGTTCACAATGGAAGGAGACACTGCCCAGTCCTGTGCCATCCTCCATTGTTCCTATGCTGGTGCCCAATGTGGCAGACACTTGTCAATCCATCTTGTGGAGGGCCTGCCCCTTTTTTTCTACCCATCTACTTTACCAAGCATGATGTCCTCCAGGGACTGGTCTCTATCCTCTGGTGTCATCATATATGACCATATAATGGTCATTATATGGCCATTAAAGTGGCCATATAATTTGGGGTACTCTGTGAAATGACTATTCAAAATACACAAAACACACAAGCAAGCAAAAAAGATAAACCAAGACTAGGCAAAACATGGTGTCATCCTTTTTAACACAGTGGTTCTCAACCTTCCAAATGCCGCGACCCTTTAGTACAGTTCCTCATATTGTGGTGACCCCAACCATAAAATTATTTTCGTTGCTACTTCATAACTGTCACTTTGCTAATTACATAAATTACATAACTAATTTCACGACCCACAGGTTGAGAACCACTGCAGTTTAACACATTAGTATTACTGGGTAGCAGCTGTGTAACAGCTTTCTAGTTGATTAATGTATAATTCTAGTGTCTCACTTGCTAAAAGGTAAACTGATTAACAGTAGGGATTGTTTGTTCCATGTGTCAAAACCCTCTAGATTTACCCGGGAATCTGGACCTGGGTGTTAAGTTTAAAGATGCCGAACATGAAACAGGCGACAGAGACCAAAAGTTCATTTCCTCAAGAATTTGATGCCCAGGGCATAACTTCCTTTCTCCTACACATCTTCCATAAAAACGGCTTTAAGACCTGTGACATCGAATCTGTAGTAACAATTTTTTTTTGTAGTAACAATTTCAAGAAGCAAAGAATTTCATAAAAATCATATTAGCCAATACTTATTGAACTCAAGTTATCCAGTCATTGTACTGTTACCCACATTAGACCATTGAGGACTGAGACACAAAGTTATTGGGCCATTTTTTCAGACTCTGGGCAGAAGCCAGTTTCATAGTGATGCCCTGTATGCCCAGAACTGCTCCATAGGGTTCTCAAAAGCAGGTCACCAGGTCTGTCGCCCAAAGCACCTCTTCCATTGGGTAGTGCTCAAGTGCTTGTTTGCCGGAAGATTCCACGTTACTCAGAGCTCCAGCCTCTGGGAAACTTAAGGGCAGAGGAAAGTATCAGGAAGAGTGCCGAGAGAGGGGCTCAGTACAGTGACCCTCTAAGTGCCTCTCTGATCCTAGTCAGCATGCCAGACAGAGTAGCAGCCATCTCTGCGCCCAGGTCCCACACTAGACACTGGGTGTTAAACACAAGTGTTACAAGTGTCAAAGTCGCACGGCAGAGGCTTTGAAAACTACACTGACAATGAACCACAGCCCACAGAAGGTGGGCTGAGATGTGCAGCATGAATTGAAACAGATTGCCTATTGAAACAAAAATAATATGAATAGGAATTAAAATCCAGTGTCAACAGAATATTCCATCCAAAATTACATGATATACAAAGAACCAGCATCTGTTGATTTTTTTTTTTCCAATTCACAATGGAAAAAGCGGGCAGATGCCAATGCCTCAATGACATGTTAGCATTATCTGACAAACACTTTAAGGCAGATATTACCAAAAAAATATCCCAAACATGAACCCTATTAACATTAATGGGAAAATAGAAACTCTCCACAAAGAAGGTAGAAAGAAAAGCTTAAAGGAAAACTTAGAATTAAGAAGTATAACAAAAGTTCTAAAAGGAAAGCAAAAATTACAAAAAGAAACAAGTGGGTGTTGCTAGAAAAAAGCATTTTCAGAAAAAATGTCTGAAATATTTTGTTTAGTGAAAGACATACTCCTATAGATTCAAGTTGTTCACCAAAATCCACAGGAAAGCCCAAAACAGAAAAATAGTAGTTACTATTAAACAAAGAAAAATAATTATCAAAAAAGCAGCCAAAGAAAATAATACATTATATTTTTTTAAAGTTAATTTGAATAACTTTAAACTTCTCATCAAAAATCACTGAGTTCAGAAGAGAGTAGCATTTTCTTAAAGTGCTGAAAAGGTTATCAAAAGGAAACTTGTAATATCAATGAATAAAAAGCAACAAAAATGGTAAGCAAATATGATTGTCCTCTCAGTTACAGTATATTTGATTATTGATAGCAAATAATTATCTGATAAGGTTTGATAGATATAAGCATACAGAAGCAAGTGGTAGGGTTTCTACATTCTACTTGAAATGGTAACATACTAAGTAGACGATAAAAGGTTATGTATGCATATATCTTATTTCCAAAATCAACCATTAAAATTATGAACAAATTCACCTCAAAAATTATATAGCTTTTGTTAGAGGGAATATTACACAAAAATATTTACCCCATTAGCACCAATAACCAGGTTATCTGACTGACAATAGCATTGTCCATTAATGCTGATTAGCAGATCATGCCTGTCTTATGCAAGCAGTGCTAGCCAATATTTTACGTAATTAATATTTTTAACTTCTAGAATGAATCATTCTCCAAATGGTTCTCAGTGATGCTCACATTCCTAGTACTCATACTGTTGTGTACTTGCACCCCCCTAGTCTAGCAAGTCCTGTGTGACCAATAAAATATAACACAATTAAAGGCATGGCAGTTCTGAGGCTAGGTTATTAAAAAGATTGTAGCTTCTGCCTTGCTTTCTTTGGTATTGCTTGCGATGTGGAAAAGTTCACTGCCACGTTTTGAGCAGCACTGTGACAAGAAGCTGCGGCCTCCTGCTACAGCTGTACGAACAGTCTGTGGCACTCAGCCCCTCCCGCCTGTCCAGCCTTGAGGTGACTGCAGTTCTGGTCTTCTTTTGACTGCAACCACTGAGTAAGCCACATCCAGATTCCTCTTCTCAGAAACCGTGGAGCTGTTTACGTTGTTAAATACATAGCAGAAATATCTAATATAAACTGTAATCTTTGAAGCATAAGATATATAGATCAAGAATGATCAGGTCTACAAAACACTGGAAAGAACCAGTGTGTGGACCTAGTTATATAATGCTATAGTTAAATAACATGCCTACTGATGCAACTAATAAGAACAAGAAGGCTCCCCAAACTAGAAGGTTCTCTAATGTATTCATGTGGAAAAATCTGAGGACATTAAACTAGGTGAAAAATATATGTATAGTTGTGTGTCTTATGCATAATTTTCTCTGAAAGAAGACATCAAATATGGGGAAAATGTTAATTGCCTGAAGGCTTCTCATTATGTAAGGTTTTATACATCACAAAATTTCAACCATGCATTTACTAGATTTATGTTTTGCATTGGCAAATAGTTACTAAAATCAGAAATATTAAAACATTACTTTTGATTACATAATATCTGCAATTTCGTTTAAAAATTCACTTAGTGACAGTCCTAAGAATAAGAAAAGACTAAGTCTACTTAGCTTTTACAGTGACCTATTTCAAACTAAAAAACTTTCCAAATTTAGACAGCTACTATAATATAGAATTGGATTCTACTGCATTAGAAAATAAGATGTATTAAAGGATGCTATGCTTTTTTAATATAAAAAACTTAAAAATAAACTATTCTTCTCACTAGTATACATTCGGGTTTGCTCAATTTCTACTTGGTGCAATTGGGCAGTATCATAGGTCTAAAAGATGGAAACATCCTTCACAACAAATTGACTTGAAAAGGGTCTGCCAGTTGCTGACTTTTCCTTGGAAAGATGTGATTTAAAAAACTCTTTGGGTTCCAAAATCCTTTTCAAAAATACCACCGACAAAGCAGTGTTTTACTTAGGCCACCAATCAATCCTCCAATGGGAAGCTGGCATGCTTCCCACTGCACGGTTGCTGGCACAGTGTAAGTGCACCAAGGCTGGGAAAATAAACCCTTTAGTCTCTCAATGAGTAAAAATATCTTACTATATATTTTACCATCAAAAAGAGTAATACTCCTAAAATGTTTTAGTTAGTTGTTCCTATATATCATTAAAGTATATAAAGCATTTCATTTATTTTTAGTTGCTATATATTATATTGAATGTTGAAATAAGCCCTGATTTAACCATATTATTATTGTACATTTAGCCTGTTTCCACTCTATAGTAAAGAGGCAAACTGGAAAAATGAACATGAGATGAATTTAAGGGGTCGAGTTGAATTATGATTGTGGCACAACAGCAAGGTAATACACACCAGTCAAACAAATCAACCACAGAGCTCCATCAACATCAGAACAGTTCACTGATTTATTAGATGAACAAACATATACCCATATAATCAATAAAACTGTACGATATAAAATAATTTAAGAAACATTGGGAATTAGCAGCACCATCCGTTAATGAAATAGCAAGAAAAACTTCACATATTTCATGCCAAACACTAGATGGGGTAACTACTTTATGACCTAATAATGCCACTTAATGTCTGGGATGACTTGAGCAGGGATTTTTTTTTCTAAAGGCAAATACACCTTTTACTGAAAAATAGGGATTTGATGATTTTATGTGATTACTGTTTTAGAAAAATGCCACTGAAATAGATACTGCATAGAATTTTAATACTAACATTCAGCTACGTTAGCATGGCTCAACACTTCGCCTTCTATGAAAATGTTCTGAATTATGAAATTAGGAATAAAAATATTTTTTACAAGACACTAGTACTCTAAGAAACATTAAGTGAAACACACAGGTCACTATGAAAATACATCACTTTTCCAGTTTGCTTAATAATTTAGTTTAAAAAGTTGACTAGAGCTCATCACAAGTGGTGTATACAAACTTTTAATAAGCATTTTTATAAGTTTAAACATGTATCTAAAATCTAGTACTCTTTAGATTTTCTTAAAATATTTAGCCTTGTTAGCACAATTACTGTGTATCAGAGTAAGAGACTAGGTTTCTGTAAGGATACAAATTTACACACATTTTACAGCAACTTATATCCTAACAGCTACAAAATTCACATATATAATACAAGTACAAGGCTAAGAAAACGGTTGAATTCCAAAAAGTGAAATTATGTACTTTTATTTTTTCCACTTAAAAAAGTTCAACTTTTGCACCAATGTCAAAACGCCCTCTTACATCCTAAATTTGCGGGGAAGCCCATTTCCCAGATACATTTCAGCAGACACACACCGTTTTCCTGTGCTGATGTAGTAAGGGATTTCCAATTTTCTTCTGGCCCCTTGGTCTGCGACGCATGTTAAGTTTGACAGAGTTCTTCCGCTGTGAGGTTGTGGGAAGGTTTGCAGGTGGAGCAACACTACTTCGACTCAGGCCATTCCGTCTGTGCTTCTTCATAAGGGGGCTAGAGTTGGATTCTTCCAATGTCCTCTTGAAATTTGCTGGCGGGGTTCTTTCCACTTCTTGGGCTTTCATTTGACCAGGAGTTGACATCTTTAGGTTTTTTTGGTCTATGGTGGTGTTTGTTGAATTGGTAGGCACTAGGCCAACTGACACACTATTATTTAAAGAATCATGTATCCTTAAAGTAAGGGCTTTCATGCAATTTTCTTCAAGTGGTTCTGGATCTTTTGAGGGTAGGACCAGAGCCTGGACATTCCCTCGTGCTATCTCAGCTGGGATCTCTGGATAATTCTCTGAGAAGGCATTACTACGAACAAGGGCAGGTATATGGTCCTTAGAGTTCAGCCTTGGCCACAGGTCCTCTTCCACGGACTGGAAAACAAGGAAATTAACAAAATAAGAAACCATTTTATCCTAGATTTTGAAAACTTCATGCTATATGAAACTATTAGTATATATTTACTGATTAAGTGGGGGGGGGGGGAGACCTGGGTGCGAAAAGGTTAACAGTAACACTGAACCCTGTCTTCAGAGTAATGGGGAAAATAAAATATCAAAAACTAATCTACCTCAAGTAGGTTAGAAGTTCTGTTACCATGAGTATATGTTCTGGCCATTGACAGATAACCAAAAGGAAGATACTTTAGGAATCAAGATTTCGAAAAACAAAGTAACTGTAAGTACACATTTACTCCACCATTGTCCTTGCTCTTTCGTTCTGAATCCAAACATGGAAAAGACAAAGGGTATAATATACTGTTTATATTTTTATTGCACACATGGCAATAACAAAATGCTGCTGAAATAGCTCTAATTATTTTCCACAAAATCCTTATTTGTTGGGTAAGGATCCTGAAAAAATTGATTTAAAAAACGATTAGCAACATTCTACTATTTTAATAATTCAGACTACCTACATAGAGGTCTCCAGTTATAACACAGAATGATATAATGTTAAAAGAATGAAAAACTACAGGTTCCTATTCAAAGACACTAAGATTTAAAGACTCTTTTCTAACAATATAAAATCTGGTCATTATAGAGCATAAGCTAGTTCTAGCTTAACTACCACAGAGGTCTACACAAGGCTAAATAACAAATTTGGTTTGCATTTGTTTGTTTCTGGGGGGGGCAATTTCCTAATTCATTTAAACTTCTGAATATTTAGTAGAAATATTCTACTAAATATATGATAGAAACATCCATCAAAGTTGTGTCATACCTATCCACCAAACAAGGCACTGTTTTATCATTAAAAGGAGCAGATGGTACTCTATAATTGGGGCAACTCTCAATTGATGAGACAAATGAAAAATCACCTAGAGATTTTTCAGGATTCGTTTTGTTTTGGTTTTTTAAGCATCGCACGGTGCTTTTTGTTGTACCACTGCTTTAGATGTACAATTCTAGATATACATATACTCAGAATACCCTACCACTACACAAAAAAGGAGCGCTCCTCCTATCAAACGCAAACCTTCCCAAGAGGTGATATTTTATACATCACTGTCCCACAAAAGTTTCTCAGAAAACATGGTTGAAGCATAAATACTCACCCTCCCAACACTGTCCCTCAGGTGGACACTCTCAAAGCCATTAAACTATACCATGTATCCTGACAAGCTCAAGTAAACCCTTTTACAGAGTGCTTAATGAAAAAGAGATCTACCTTGTCATTCTTGAATATTAAATTCCCTAGGGGTAAACAATCTTCTAAAAATTGCTATATAAAAATAATACTTATAAGAATGCTTCCTTTATGCAGTCTAAATTTAAAAGAATATATAGAATCGTTTCTAAAAGTTTTTTAATAAGCAATAAATATTTGATCATTTTTTTTCTAAAATAATTTCAGTCTAATCATCATCCTGGACATGCTTTACTGAAAACCCTGGACTTCAGTCCACTGAAGTTGGAGATCAGCCATGGGCACAGAAATCCTACTTCCTAATTTGGGACAGTCCCAAATTCATGGCTTCTCTCTCTAATTACAGCCCCAAACTCATGGCTTCTCTCTCTAATTACAGCCCCAAACTCATGGCTTCTCTCTCTAATTAAAACATTCTTTTCTTCTGAAATCACCTGTTTACTTTTTAAATTTGATATTGCATGGTTTATTAGAAGTCTTAATTATTCATATCTGTTGTAATTCTGTTATTGAGCCAGCAATCTTACTTCAAAGAGGAGATGCTGAGGCAAGGATAACAAAACAGTCTCTACTCTAGAATATCAGAGGAACCTTGGCAGTAAAGTGGGTTAACCATTTTAGCTGCTATAGGGAGATTGGCAGTTCAAAGCCCACCAACCAATACACACAGAAAAACGAGGCAGGCTGCTTAAGAAACCCTTGAGAGCAGTTCTACTCTGTCCTATCTGGCCTGTACATTCAGTAATTGACTTGATGGCAATGGTTTAGTTTTTAATAATAACAAGAGTTGCATCTGAGTTTATCCCTTTGGCAGTAGGTTGATTTGTAAAGCTTAAGTTTTTTATAGGTATATTCTGAGTAATCAAATAAAAATATATCTACTCATAGTTGTTGACCAATAGTTAATTCTGCATTAATATAGAAAAATAAAATAAAACATGACCAATCAAATAAATCCTGTATAGAGAAAAGGCATCCTACTTCTAATCACTTATCACTAATATAGTCACAAGACAAAGGTACTATTAAAAAGCTACTTATAGAAACAGAACATATTGCTTTAGCATGGATAACAAGATTAGACATTACATTACATTTCCTTATAAAAGAAAAACAGTGAAACATTTTCAGAGTTAATGCAGTTTATTGTAATTTATGTTGTGCTTTGTCTTTTTAAATTCACTGCTTATTATTCTGACACTACAGGTGCTTGGGCTTCGCTTCCCCCCACTTTCTCCTTGAACTTTTTCTTTTTCTTGGCACTCTGTGGGAATACATTGCATCTGTTAGCATAGGTAACTGCTTTTTGGACTTACCCAAATTAATTATTTGTACTGCTAAGTCTATTTTCCAAGTTCCTAAAACATTTATGTGATGCAGAAAGATTGGTGGTGGGTGCCATCCAGTCAGTTTTAGCGACTACACATGACAGAATATAACTGCCCTCTAGGATGTTTGTTCTAGGCTTGTGATCTTTCTAAGAGCAGATGACCAGGTCTTTTTCCAGCCGAGCCAGAGCTGATAGCTGGGTTCAAACAGCCAACCTTTATGGTTAGCAGCCAAGCACTGAACCATTGCACTACCAGGTCTCCTGTAGATGACCTCCCTAAAATACATACTTTAAAAATTAAAACAAAACAACTTATGAGGATAATAGTCCAATCAGTAACAAAGATGAAAATAATTATGTTTATGAACTACATTAGAACTAATTAGCTAAAAACGATTTCAAGATATTCATGAATTCACTAGTTCACAGAAACCAACTTTTTCCCACCATTAACATACAACTAATCACAAAGTTGGCTGGAACACAAATGAATTTAGAACTGATTTTCTAAGAGAATTTCCCCTCTCCTCCATCTCTCCTAACTCTCTTGGCTTATAAGACACCGCTAAATTTAGCTTTATTCTAAAAAAAAAGGATGGAGAAATAATTGTGTGCCACAGTACTGTTTTACTCAAACAAAGGCATTTCTGTAATATTCACCCCAAAACAAAGATTTGCCTATTAATTTACATTACCACCAAACAAGTTAAGAGGTACATACAGACAAATGTAGTCACTAATGCCTCTTCCAAATATGGATAAATCTTTTTTTTTAAGTCAAAATTAAGCAAAATGTTATTATATTTAACTATATGTTACTAAGTATGGAATTATAATAACACTGAAATAAACCTGAGGTACTTTTGAGAACCCACCTTTAAATCAAGTAAAGTAAATGGAAATTCCCTTTCTTGTTAGGTCAGAGCCAATACTAGTTATTCTGAATGACCTTAATATTAATTGTTCTGGCCTCCCATATTTGGGTGGAAGCAATTGGTTAACTAACACACCTGCCTGTAAGCTAGTGTTCGCATAAAATTGTCCCTGCTTACAATGGGGCCCCCTACAACTGTTACAAATCAGTTCTGATGTAAATACCTTTTCTTTTTTTTTTAAGTTTTCACTATTGCCTTTTTAGTATCAGTATCTTTATAAAGCCAACAGTGTTATGAAATGTAAATCATAAAATGGAACATCTGTGTAACAAGTAAACATCCGAAAATAACATCAGTAATTTATGTATTGTAACATATTACTAATGCTAAGATTTATCATTAAATAGGGAGAAAGACCAAGTGTGGTTCAACATAACTTGAATACATTATAAGTTGGGGACTATTTGTATATACAAACCTGTTAATTCTTTCATCTGGTATTATATTAGAGGAGCCATTAATTCTCAGAATTTTATAAGTCCTTTTTTAACACATATAATGTAAGTACAACTTTACTAACACAAATTGTCAGAATGAAATATTTTTATATTTTTTTATTTGAAGCCAATATAATGAATATCCACTCTTATTACAATATCCTGTCCTCATCCTCATCCCACCTTAATGCCTCCCAAGTGGTCAGTTATTCAAAGACATTTGAAAACATTTAAGTTCTACACATGGAATGAATAGTCAATATTCAGAAATGAGGAATTATTCAAATGCATGTAAACTAAGTCCGTTTTGAAGAGAATTAAGAATTTTCAGAAGGTTCAAACTTCACCTTATTCAAGAGTTTTCAAAGAATGCTCTGACAAGAACTTATTTTAATAAAATTAGTAGGAAAAATTGATTTGTTGATGTCTAAAATAGAACTAAGAGGAGCCCTGGTGGCATGGTAGTTATGTCTTGGACTGCTAACCATAAGGTCAGCAGTTCAAAACCACCAGTGGCTCCAAGGAAGAAAGATAAGACTTTCTACTCCTCTAAAGAGTTAACAGCCATGGGAAACCCACAGAGGCAGTTCTACTCTGTCCTTTAATGTCACGATAGATTGGAATTAACTTAATGGCAGTGAGTTTGTGTTTGGGGCTTTTTAAATTAAAAATTAAGATTCCACATAAGGAAAATTAAATTGTCATATATATGTGAAGGGAACAGAAACAAGGCATAATAATAAATTCCAAGTACTGCCTACAGGATCATAAACTCAAAGAAAAAGTACATCATACACAGTAACTTGAATACCTTAAAAAATTATCTGAATATGCAACATAAAATTCTGCTGTCATTCCTACTTTAATGGCTAGTCTTCTGAAAACACATTATCAGAAGGTCAAGTCAGTCATGCTGTATTATCAAAGCATTTGTTAACATTACTACTTTTGAGTAAGAAAGAATTGGAGTAAAAAACAAATATTTGAGTTCTTAATAAATCAGTAAAAAGCAGAAAATTGTACCCAGTTAAATTTAATTATTTCACAGCCTACCTTAAACTCAATCAATATTAACACAAATAAGAAACAGAAATGATGGAGTACAAAGACGAGTTCTCAGGAATAGTGTCTGAAATCCAGTTCAACCTTGATTTTTAAGACTTTGTTCAAACTGTTTAATATATCAGACATATCTATAAAATGGCAATACTAACTGTGCAATTTGCCAGTTCATATTAAGTATTACAAATGAAAGTGCTTCATGAACTTTTAAGTGCTTTACAAGTATTCACAGTAAATTCTCAACATGTATATTCTTCATAATCACCTATTAGGTGCTATGTGCCCACTTGGCACTTAGATTAAGTACTGGTGTGAAGATGGCTCATTCACAATAAGGTATTCAACAAAACCCATCATTTTCTTGAATCTCATCATCAACTCCTATGATATAAAGAACCTAAAATCGGTTTTCAGACAACATTAATGAAAGAAACTATTACAACAGAACTCAAATTATTATAGATCTGTATACCTTCACTGGTGGTGTAGAACAAGGGGAAGGAGTCATCACACAGGTTTCTTGACTATTATAGGATGGACTATCAGTAAGGTTGAGATAGAGCTCATCTTCACTGTTGAAGCTGCCCTGGAGGTCTACTTCTGGAGAGATGCAGATTACTATAGCACTAGTATTATCTGCTCGGAGCATACGTTGTCTCCAGCGGCCTAGTGCTCGATTCACAAGCATTTTGGCACAAGATTGTCCGTACTCACCCTGTATTTATAAGAATAAACAAAAAGAAGAAACATCAGATTTGAAGTTATTACATCTGAATCAAATATAAATTGGGTGTTTAATGTGGGATGGGGGAATTGATAAAAATATCTAAAATTTCAATCATTGTCTATATTCTCCATAACTATTAAAATATCTTAAAGCATTTTTTAAAGCTTTTTATACATTTTTATTTTGTTAAACATTTACCTCCCAAAAAAGATAATCAAACAAGGCTTTATCTTATAGTTAAATTTCTCCTGTTTAATTATATACTTTTGATCATAAGAAACTTGGGCTTCGCTCTAACTTTAATTCGAAAAAGTTATATAAAATTTCAAAAGCACAATCTAAAATGAGAAATACTAATTATAGATGAACACTATTCAGAAACAAGATAGACATAGGAAAAATAATTCATTGCAAAGAGTCAATCTAAATAAAAGAGCTTCTGCAAATAAAAAACAATGATTCAAAATAAAAATTAAAGGATATAAACAAAATTCAGAGATAAGGAAATTATATATAGAGCTCTTAAATGTATGTAAAAATGTTTAATTTCACTCCTGTGAGAATAAAAGCTAAGTTGTTAAGATAAGGAGAAATAGAAAGGGGGACACAGAAATGATCACGTTAGGGAAGTAACTGTGGCTTAGCATCACAAGGATTCAAATATTGCTTAAGTTCAAAGAGTAATGATTTAAAATATGTTCTACATGTCTTTAAAAAATGCTTCTAGAAAGAATTTAATGAGCATGTAGAAGTATTTTTCTTAATGTGTCATGAACTAAATGTAGAAGAAACATGATACAAAATACACATATATTAATCTTTGTCCTTTTGACTTTTCGCCTGTATTCCTTAAGTTTATCTGTTCCAATGGTTAAAGAACTGGTTGCTTTGTTTTGCTTTTTTATCTTCTCTTTGGAGATGAGACAAAGTTTGCTGTGCCTCTCATCGTCTTCAAATTTCTGAAACTATTTTTGTGACTGGACATCTGTTTGCTACCATATGCCCTGTGTCTACAGGTTTATTTTAAAAGCAACTCAACTGTTTTTATGATTACAATTGACTCAAGCCTTCTATTCCTTCATGAGTCATTTTTAGTATTTTCCTAGAAAAATACCCATTTTGTCTGATTTTTCAAATTCACATAAAGCTATTCTGAAATTATAGTGATTCAGATTTTTTAAATCTCTAATTTTAAGTGCAGTTATGTCCACTCTGACGCTTCTTTTTTGTGCTTTGAGGCTTGGTTTAGCAAGATCAATCAAGCCTGGTTTGCCTTTTTTTAAAAAAAAAAGATCATTTTATTGGGTGCTCTTACAAATCTGGTTACAATCCATACATCAATTGTATCAGACATATTTGTACATAGATTGCCATCATTCTTTTCTAAACATTTACTTTCTATTGAGCTCTTGGGATCAGCTCCCCCCCGCCCCAGACCCCTTGATAAAGATTATAGAATGTTATTATTTTCATATCTCACACCAATTGCTGTTTCCCTTCCCCTCTGGTATCTGTTGTTCTTCCCACTGAAAGGGGCTGGTTTTCCCTTTTTAAAGAATGAGCTTTTGGTTGTTGTAAATCGCTGTCATTAATTTCTGCTCTTTATTTTTTCATTTCTAATTTTTACTAATCATTTTATTGGGGGCTCACGGCTCTTATCACAATCCACACATACATGCATTGTGTCACGCACATTTGTACATATGTTGCCATTATCATTTTCAAACCATTCTACATAAGTCCTTGGTATCAGCTCATTTATCCCTCCCTCCACCCTCTCACCCTCATGAACACTTGATAATTTATAAATTCTTATTATTTTTCATGTTTTACACCAACCACTGTCTCCTTTCACCCACTTTTCTGTTGTTTCTCCTCCTGGGAGGACAATATATGTTGATCATTATGATCAATTCCCACTTTCTCCCCACCTTCCCCTGTTCCTCCCGGTATCACTGCACTCACTGTTGGTGCTGAGGGGTTTATCTGTCCTGGATTCCCTGTTTCCAGCTCTTATCTGTACCCATGTACATGCTCTGGTCTAGCTGGATTTGTAAGATAAAATTGAGGTCGTGATGGTGGGGCAAGGAAGCATTAAAGAATTAGAGAAAAGTTGTATGTTTCATTGGTGCTGTACTGCACCCTGACTGGTTCGTCTCTTCCTTATGATGAGGTGTCCAATTGTCTACAAATGGGCTTTGGATCTCTATGCTGTGCTTCCTCCTCACTTGTAGTTGTAGAGATTTACTTTTATGTCCTTTTTTATATTTTATACTAAGTAGATCACCTAGATAATTTTCAGCATAGTGGATTGTTTATATAGTTTGCTTTTCAGCAGTGACGATTGCCCCATGTGGGAATACCATAAGCTGAGTGTTATGAATTATCAATTTATGTGTCACAAAAGAGAAAAAACTGTCACTTTAACAATGGTGTATTACCTCATCAATTAGAAAAGGAAATCCAACTTCAGAGATGTTATTAAGTATAAAAATGCATTCATCCAACACATTCCCAGGCCACAGTTCCTCTCTCTCCAAATCCGGAGGAGTGACTGAGGATAGGCTTCTTACCTTTCACTTTCCAGTGCACCTCTGCTTCCTATCCATGAAACCCTAATCTAAACATAATAGCTCTTTCACCTCTTTCTATCTTGTCTCAACCCACTTGAACTCTGCAGATGTTGTGTCCTTTCCAATTCTTCTACACATTCTAAGTTATCTCAGATAGTGCCATTTAATAACAACCAAAAAAAGCCAAACCTGTTGCTATCGAACCCATTTTAACTCATAGCACCCCATACCTCACAGAGGAACTGCCCCGAAGGGTTTACATGGCACATTAGAAGTGAGTGCCACATTTCCCTCCCTCAGAGCAGCTGGTGGGTTTGAAACACCAATTTTTTCAGTTAGCGGCCAAGTGCTTAAAACCATTGTGCCACCAGGGCTCCTTTATGTAGTGTCATAACTTTTTACTTCTGTTCACTCTCCAATTAGTATTTCCAGGCTTTTCTCAAATATTTATAGATATCTACTACTAGTTAAGGATCCCTGGTAGCACTGTGGGTTAGGTCATTAAGCTCTTCACCACAGGTTAGTGATTCAAATCCAAAGCCAGTGATTCAAAGTTAGTGATTCAAGAGAAAGATAAGGCTATGTACTTTAATAAAGATTTTGTCTTGGAAATCGTAAAAAGGTACACAATGAGTTCGAACTGGCTTGGTGGCAGAGAATTTGGTTTGGGGGTACTGCTACTTGGATGTACCACAGACACCTCCATGTGTAGGCATACTTACAGCTGAAATAATTGTCTACCCACTCAGAAAATGTGTCTTTTTTTTTTTTTTGAAAATGTGTCTTCTTGATAATCACTATCACTTTATCAGAAGTTTTATTTACTTTTTATCAGAAGTTTTAGTGTAATCTTTTTCTCCCTCCTTATAAACCCAACTTCTGCTAATTCTACCATGCATATATTTATTTAGCATGTTTAAAAACAACTAGATCAAACTTGTAAATTTTCTGATTTGAAATATAACAGCAAACTCCAGAGAGGAAGTCAAATAAAATCATTAATAAAATCAGATCAGAAACCTTGGCCCTAAGGAAATTAATATGAGAAGTAAGGTTTTATAACTATCTTATATACACACACACATATTTTATAACTTCACCAATCATTGCTGGTATTTATTGTCTTTCACTGCCAACATTGGAACAGTCTCATTTTGGTAAAGGCAAAATGATTTTTCTTTTTCTCTAACTAATAGGTCTCTTCAAATCCACTGTCTATTTTCTGCACTGCAATCAGTTAAGATTTCTAAAATGCAGTTTTTAATAACGCTCCATTGTTCAATGAATGACAACTTCAAAATATAGCTTTACCATTTCTCCCATCTTAGAAAAAACCCACCATTTTCAAGGATAATGTGGCCCTCTGTACCTTTGATTTCCTAGTGTCCTTATCTCTGGCCCTTCACACTACCCTTTATTTCTCGTGCACTGTCAAGCGTTCTATTAACAACAAACACTTGTAAGTCCCTATCTTTACAAGCTAATAACGGCACACTCCCCTCTGTCTTTTTGTAAAAGTACTCAATGCTCACTCCCTCTACTTTCTGGGATCACAAAATACTCAGTCACCACTCACAATTTGCTTTATGTCTTCATTCTTGAAGGTCACTAATTAAAGATCCTAACTAAAAAGTCAAGGGTTTCTACTCTTAGGAAGTTACAGTTTTGGAAACCCACAAGGACAGTTCTACCCTGCCCTATCATGCCGCTATAAATCATAATTGACTCGATGGCAGCAAATTTGGTTTGGTAACTAAAAACACCAACTTCCCGATCTCATATTCATCTGTCTCTACTTCTTGGCAGCATTTGATATTCCTGACTACCACCCCCAAATTCTCTTTCCTCATCTTCAGTGATACCCTGTATTATCCAGGTGCTCTTTTCCTTTCCTTTATTCCTGCTCCTTCCTGAGAAGCTGAGGTTATGGTGATCAAGCAACATAAAACTCAAAAGGAAGACAATTTTCAAACTGAGTCAGGAAGTAAAGGAAAATATGTTCTCATTAATAACTGTTTCTAGATATGCAATTAATTTCAGAAGGATAGGTAACACAGAGTTCCCCTAAGACTGAGCAATTTCACTTTGGGGTAGCTATTTTAAGAGAGCTGAAAGCATATGTCCACATACAAAAACTGTACATTAATCTTTACAGCAACCTCACTAATAATAAGCCAAAAATGTTAACAACTTAAATGTCTATCAATGAATAATGGACAAACAAATGATAGTATATACCGTGAAATATTATTCAGCCATAAAAAGGAATGAAGTGTTGATACATGCTACAATGTGAGTGACCCCTGAAAATATGCTAAGGAAGTAAAAGAAGACACACATACACAGGATGTGGCCCCATTTATAGGAAATGTCCAGAATAGGCAAGGACATAGATTCAGGAAAGTAGATTGATGGTTGCCAGAGTCCAAGACTGGTGAGTTAGTGGTAATGGCTTTTGGTGGAGGGATTGCAACAATGTTCTAGAATTAGTTAGTAGTGATGCATGCACAGCATTATGAATACACTAAGAATTACTGGGCTATATACATTAAAAGGGTGAATTGTATATGAATTATATCTCAATTTTTAAAAGAACTGGAGTTTCATAGGCCAGAAAGTCATGGGCTATTCACTTAAGTCAGTTATTCTATGTTTTGTTATGTAGTTTCCTTTTATATCCTGTCTCATTCCCCAGATTATCAGCAGTAAAGTCTGTTTAACTTTTTTTTAATAAATCTTTTTATTGGGTGCTCTTATAGCTCTTAAAACAACCCATAGAGCAATTGTATTGAGCACATTTATACATATGTTGCCATCATCATTTTTGAAACACTTTCTACTTGAGCCCTTGATAATAGCTCCTCTTTTCACCCTCCCTCTTCCACTCTCCCACCCTTAATCAATTATCGTTGTTTTCCTTTAACTACTTTTAAAGCAAGATAGATACAAACATCTATCCAAAGAGAACAATTTTAGTTTATATTCTGACCCCTAATGAAAGTACCAGAGCGAAATTGAGACAATATCAAACAATTGAATTAGTTCTCACCATCAAGCATTTTTTCTCCTCTTGGTCCTGGCACATTGAGATGGCATCTTGAGGTGGGATCATATTCCAAAGTCCATCACTACCCAAAATAATATACTTGTGCTTCTGTGGGTCAAGATTGTGGACACTAGTATCTGGTTCAGGAGACACAACAAACTCACCACTGAAGAAATCATAGCTCCACAAATCACCTGGGGCAGGAAGCAAAGGAAACATGTAGTATTTCCAAACCAATAGCATCACATCAACAGATGGAGTAAATTTACATGTTCATTGTAATGTCTGCAGAATGGCATTTAATAACATTCAAAATCTATTCAGGGTAAAAACTTCCTAGGATTAAAAAAACCTTTTGCACTCTTCCTTTGTAAACCTGGTCCTGGTACAGAGACTCCTGTAAAGAAAAGTGGTGAGAAGGGCCATTCTACCATCAATAAAGTGGTGGTCAAAGAGTACGCCATCAACATTCACAAATGCATCCAGGGAGCTGGCTTTAAAGAAACATATCGTTCGGCAACTTAGGCCTATTTAGAATTTTCTATAAAGGAGACGGGAATGCCTGCATATTGATATCATCTGTATACGGTCTATCCCAAAGTAATAAGGAATGTCTTATACCACACATGCATGCACAGTTGTCCAGAAAGTTTAATGAGGATCAAGACTCACCAAACAAAATTTTTTTTTTTAATTCACCAAATAAGCTAAATATACCAATTACCATTGTGATTGCTTTAAAAAACGTTACAGACAGCCATCTGGATGGCAACTAACAGTTGATTATGAAACAGTTATAAAAGTGCCCCAAAGCAACAAAGCCCGCATGGAAGAAGCACACCAGCCTGTGTGATCATAAGGTGTCAATGGGGTCAGGTATCAGGCATCATCAGAACAAAAAATCTTATCATTGTGAATGAGGG